GCAGGCTCAGCACCGCTGGAATCGATGACATTTTCATTTGTGTGTGCCAGCATGAAATGTGTCTCTGTTCATACCAAGCTGAGTTAGAAACAGAAATGCAAGGAAACAAGCATGTGTTCATCAAATCAGCTGAATAACAGTGTACGGAAATGTTTCTGCTGTGATTGTTTACAGTGGAAAGTAAGTATCTTAGTGGCATTTCATACATTTAATGCCACAGAGAAATTTTTTAAAAATCATGTATTGTTAGCATCTCTGGAAAATGAACATACTTCCTAATCAAGTACACAAAAGTCTTTTATCATTTGTATATACATGCAGGCTAACGTTATCTTTTGATTTTTGGATGCTCCAAAATCTGATGTCCAGTGCTACTCAGCCTTGGGCCATTTTTACAGATCTGTTGAGTATCTTTAATTTGGAAGAACGGATGCTCATTTTGAAGTGGAGCCACTCAAAATCAATGACCGCTTTTGAAAATGTTTGCTTCTAATGTGCATGATAAAACCTACAAGAGCTTCAGCTGTAGCTTTTTCCAAGAGTTTGAAGAAACAAGTAGGGTTTTTTTGGTGTCATTTGCATCAGCACTTGTTTGATAAAATCTGAATCTTACACAAACTCCTTGCAGGTCTAGCTGCATAGCTGAGAAACCTGGCCATTGTCTGCTTCCTCCATCTATCTTCGATTCCCATGCCAGCCATGGAAAAGCAGGACAGAGGGAGGCTGTGCGGCTCAGTTTCTAGGTCAGAAATTGGGAATTCTTGCTTCCCTTTTAGCTCTGTTGGCTCATTTCCCAGTTTTTCTGTGTGTCGCTTTCCAGCCTGTAGAATAGAGAAGATGTTCTACGGGTAACAATTTTTGAGTTCTGAAAATATTTGGGTCTTAAAAACTGTGCATAGCTGCTGCATCGTTGTCAACTCCTGGGTAAGCAGGAGAGCAGCAGTGTGCCCAGAACTAGTTGTTGTGTTTGTAGAAGAGCTAGGGAAACAGGGTCTGCAGACTTCACATCTGAGAATGACCCAAGACATATCGCGGGCTTGTTTTCTCTGCTACTTCTGACCTGTCTAGGTTGTTCTCTGAGTACTGCCCAGTGCTGCCCTTTCCATGCCTGCTCTAGTTTCTGCAGAAGCCCCGAGTTAATCCATCTGTGCTTCCTCCTCTTTTTGTTTTACTGCTCCACCCACAGTATTTTAAAAAAACAAAACAAAACCAAACACCTGGGTACCATAGGAATGTAAGTCCTAGCGAGCCTTGCACATTCTTTATAAAATACTATTCCTTGATATTCAGGTGGCCTTGCCTTGGGTGGTATTAAGCGATTATGACTACTCCTGACATTCCCAACGTTGAGGAAAAAATTGTTATCCTACTCTTACTGTCTATAGTGAGATACTGGTATATAGGATATGCTGGATTCCACTGTGCTGATCTTTCTCCACCGCACTGGGACTGCCATACTACAGCTTCCCTTTGTCACTTGAAAAATTATTTCTGAAGTAGTCATTTTACAAAGTTTTGCAATATATCAGAATTCCTATTATATCAGAGCATGTTCTCTTCTAAATTAATAACATAGAATCATTGAAATGTTGGCCTAAAAGGGGCTTTAAAATGATCTTTTTGTCTGCTTGCTGTATGCCAGTATGCTGTGCATATTAGATATACCTGTATCCAAAGTCATGCCTGATCATTCTCTGGTCCATTTGTTAAAACCTCTAGTGAGGGAGAACTATGTGTATTTTTCTTCGTTGATATTAAGAAATTTTTCCCTGTCATCTAACTGAAGTAATCTCTGTTGGAAAGTAACTTCATTTCTGCTCATCCTCCTCTAGAGAACACGGGAAACAATTATTACTGTCCTTTACAATAACCAAAGATAAAGATTAAAATATCAGTTAAAATTATTCTTGGCAGTCTCTGTTTTCTGGACTAAACAAACAGAGTTATTTCAACCCTTCCTGATATGCTGTATTTTCTTCCTCATGTAATTTTTATTCCTGTTTTCTAGACTCCTCAGGACCTCACCTGAGATCTTGTTTGTGCTGGATAAAACAGAATAGAACTGAGTAATTACCCCTCAGGATATTGCTACTCCATCTGAAAATGGGATCTCCCTTTTTCTGCAGCACCATTGCGTTGCTGGCTGGTACTATACCTCCCAATTTTATTTTATTTTTTTTTACTGCTACTGTAGCTAGTTACATCCAGCTGTATTTTTATCTGGAAGCGACTTCCTGGTTTTCATACTATGAACTGTCGGCTGCTAATTTATTCAATGTTAGTTGCTGATTAAAGTAGCAATTTTGTTGCCAGGCTATTTAGGGACAAGGTGACTCGTCACGGGCCCCAAGAATTAGCAGTGTTGTGCGGCTGCTTCTGCAATTACGGAACCAATACAGAAATCTTCACAGAGAGAGAGGATTTCTGGCAGCAGTTGACAGCATGGGCACGTCGTTCCCTCCCATGCACTCTCGGATCGTCAACAGCCTCACAGCCTGGATCTTGTGTATATTCAACTCGGCACAGTGGCTTTTACCTTGCACTGTGACCTCTGTGTGAAGCACAGGCAGTTGGCCAGTTGGGCTGATCCGGGTTGATGGCGGAGGAGGAGAGATGCTGGGGCTGTGCCCCGGAGCTAGAGGTGCGCGCCACCTCCCGTAATCTGATTACATTTACAGTTCCCACTTGCAGCCTTATGTGACGGGAGTGTCTTGTACCAGGTGTTAGGTTAAGTTGTAGGCCCACAGTAGGCAGTAGTGAGCTGCTGTCATCTCACCCCTCTCTTCCCAGGCAATATTGGTCCCTTGCAAAAATTGCCAGGCTCTGCAATCAGGTGGGCTACACGGTCAAGATGGAGGGGCAGGTGGCATCTGGCAACGTTTTACACCAAAACAAAAAAAGACGGCAACATGCAATGGGCTGCAAGTAACGAGAGGGGCAACATTTTATACAGAGACAGGAGATGCAGAGAACAAAAGAAGACTTAGATTTGAGACCTAGAGAATGGGAGGAAACAGGGAAGGTTTTGAACTGCCAATAACAAAGGCTACTGAGATCAGCAGGCAGTAATCGCTGCTTTGGGTCAACCTTGCTGTGATGGGTGATCTCCTTGTGGCTGGTGAATGCCTTCTGTCGGTATGTTATCCGTAAGGTCCAGTCCGTCATGAGGGTGGAATGCTTTCGTCCTGCCTGTATGCCCTCCAGCCTGGTCTGCCAAAAGTACCTCCACAACACAAAAACTGAAGCCAAAAACCGGCAAATAGTAGTAGTACCAAGTACCACAAATACCAAGGGTACACCCCCCCGCATTGGGTCGCAACGTTACCGGGCACGCTGTTACCTCCTGCCTTGGTGGAGGTTGTTACCTCCTGCCTTGGTGGAAGTTACTTGAACAGCCTGTACCGTGGCTTCTCTTGTGACGGGAGTGGGAGATGCAGGACACGCTTTTGTAGAGATACGTAACTTGCTGTGTGTTGGCGTCCAAATGTGTCCGTGCAGATCTGTGTCTGGCAGTGTTCTCGATCCCGTGCACTCTGTATCTGTTAGTCGCAGAAAATAAAATTGCGAATAAAACTAACGACAATTTAAAAGAGACAAGCTGAGACTGGGTGTTTTTACACTGCCTCCGGAGGGTGCGGTTCACGGCCACAGTAAAGCTGATTCCGGAGGGCCCACAGCTGGATCAGGAGTCCCGCTGTCACCGTCCGGTACAGGCCGGGTGGGAGATCTCTGCCTCAAGG